TTTAATATTTCCTTTTCAAGATTAGATGTATCTTTGTCTTTGTTATACGATGGATTATCTAATTCCAAAGGAGATGTATCTTTTTCTGTACTGTCCATAAAATGCCTTTAATATTCATTCAATACACCCTTCATTACTTCATTTAATAATTCTCAATATATATATATACTAGGGTGATGCTTATTTGGACACAAAAAAATTTTCCATACGTTTTTATAAGGGCACCCCATAAACTGTTTTATGAGTAACAAAAGTTACTGTTTTTGTTCTTCATTTGTGTTGTGTAATTTGTTGTATTCCTCCATTAAAGCCACCCCTCGCTCTGCAGTTTCATTGACAACTCTCATTGACTGAACGATTTCTTTACTTTTTTTATAATCTTCGTCTTCATCCCAATGGTCGACATCTTTATTTAAAAATTGATATGAAATTCCTAATATGTCAAAAAATCTCTGAGGAATTTTTTGTTACAAAATCTTCAAGGTTTTTTCTTAAAACTAGATCAGGATATAAACTTATGCGTTTCATCGGATACTCTATTCCTTCATTATGCATAGCATCTACCATTTTCCGTTTGGTTTCGGATGAAACATTTTCATCAAAAAATGCAAACGCAATTACTTCTTCTGATAAATACCAAAGATGACCAAGAAATTTCTTCATGGCTTTTTTTGAAATTGTTACATCGATTTCTTCGTATTTCTTTAAATCTTTTATTAGTTGTAGGTCATTTCTTGGTGAGTAAATCTCTGAAGCAACTTGAAACCAATATTTAATATATATTCTTACTGTAAAAATACATATGTCACGAATTCCTTTATATTTTTTTTTGTCAGTTTAAATTGTTCTTTAAATAAATAATGAATATATGGCTTTTGCCATCCATCGGGCTCGATGAAGTCCACCAGGAGCTCTAAAAGATATACCTTTTTTAGGAACTCCCCCTAAGAAAATAATACTTAGGCCCAATAATTCTTTAAATTCATCTCTGGGTTGAAACTCTCCAAGTTGTTTTAAAGCAAAATTGATCGTGTCAGTAGAAATATTGCTTATTTGATTTAAAGTAGAAACTTCGGAAATTATAGTTTCAAAATGTTCCAGCTAAATTGTGTTCCAAGCTTTTTTAAATCGTTTAAACAATATAATATCTGGTGTAGATGAGCATCCAATAGAATGAACAACAACTGCTTCTAACATTATCTCCATGATATGATGACGACAGGCCAACCATAAAATTTGTTTGTCCATATTTTGCTCAAGTAGAACACATGCACCATTTTTTAGTCCACTATTTACTGCAGTAGTATCAAAGCTCATACATTTAATTTTGTCACCAAGTCCCCATGATAATGTAGTTTCATATACTGTCGAAGCTATTGATTTACCTGTTCCAGAAATGAGTTTTGGAATAGCGAGAAGTTGGTCAACACTTTTACCTGATACTAAAATTGGAAGACGGTCTACTGTTTCATGTCCACTTATATCCTCAATAATTTTTCCATCCCAGTGAATAGTCAGTAGGACTTCTGATATAAAGACATTCTTCACTGATTCTGCAATTTCTTGTCGATATCGTATACGTTGACGACGAATAGATGAAGTGTTTACAATATATTCTAAAGGATCACTGCCAAGTCGCTAAATACTATTCATTAGTACTACTGTAGCTTTCCGATCACTTAATTTTGCAACATCAAGACTAACAGCCAAATTGCTGTCAAGATGTTTCTTTCTACCTCTATTTTTTTGTGGTGATTTATTAATTGACGAGTCATCAACAGTAGAAGTATTGCTGTCAGATAAATCACTATCAACATCACTTGAACAGGAAGATAACAAAATGTGGGACTGTCCAAGTTGTGATTTAATTATTTCGTCTTTTTTTAATATTATTGTTTTTCTTCTTAATCTCAGCTTCCTTTTTTTGTGAGATTTTTATCAATATTTCCAATTTTACCAGGTCGTCTTTCTTTTCGTTGTAAAAGTAAAAATTCTTTATCCTCCAGAATACGAATTATGGCATCAGCATGGGCTATATCAAACAGTTTATCGAGGTTCTTTTGCCAATTATTCTCTTTTGCTTTTAATCCTTCGGATCGCTTTGCTTTATTTTCTTTATTTTTTTTTAGTTTTTGCCATTCATTAAATAGACCAACAATTTTATTTATAACATGTTTCTGAAGTCTTGTGGGTATTCTAGCCTTATCCCAAATTGTCATTGTATACACAGCAGTAACACGTGCAGAATCCCTAACATTTATTTTAATAATATTTTTATGATAAAAAAATAAACTTATTACCTCCTTTCTTGAAGGTAATTTAGTTTCACTTAAATGTTGTGACATCTGCCCGATCTGCCATACATGAGTCATTTGTCTGGTTGAAACCGCTGTATTGATATTTGTTGTCATAATAAACGCAGTTATAAATTATAGAAATCGTGAAATTATTATTTAAAAAAACAGTTTAAAATAAAATATAAAAAGCCACAAAAACGTTGTCCATAAAATTGAATACAACGGCGATGACGACTAACGACGAGTTTGCGATCACGACGACTGTAACATTATATTGTACATCAATTCTGTGCCCGCATTATAAACTCTTTAATAATATTCAATAATGATCTCAATATACTTCAATAATAATTCTCAATAAAAAACCTCATAATAATGATCTCAATGAATACTTTTTAATAATAATCTCATAATAACAATAACTCTCAATAGTTAAATATCAATAATAATCACAATAATATTCTTCAACAATAATAACCTCAATAGGCTTCAATAATAATCTAAATAGTTTCAATAATAATCTCAATAACTCCAATAATAATCTCAATAGTTTCAATAATAATCTCAATGACTTCAATAATAATCTCAATATAATAACTTCAATAATTTCAATAATAATCTTCAATAACTTCAATAATAATAATCTCAATAATAATCTTTAATAACTTCAATAATAATAATCTCAATAACTTCAATAATAATCTTCAATAATAATAACTTTTATAATCTCGATAATTCAATGGGTTTTAATAATTAACTGAATAGGCTTTTATATAGGTTCTACTCTAACACCTACACTACTATTTATACTTGATTACCTTAAATAAATTCCATACGCCTCTATTGTACATACGTCTATGTAACAATATTTAATAAATTATTCACTTACAATAAAGCGGTATTTGCTGATGATGCCATGTTCCTTTTGAAATTACTGCACTTGTTTTGCTTGGAACCTTCCTTCGGAGTTGCTGATGAAGAAGAGTGATCAATTCCTCTTGTCAACGATGGACCTTTGATGGTTTTGCCTCCTCGAAATATCCTACCGACTGCGCCAGAAATGTTGTGTGCGTAATCTCAAAGGCTATAAAAGCCGTAAGCTTTAGAGACAAATCAAACAAGTACCAAATTGAACTGTAGAATAACGTTTATTTAGCAGAAAATATGGTAAGTGTATAATAGCGTGTGCGCGTGAGACGAGAAGTTGCTCTGGTCTCCGTGGCTATGATCAAGCCTGGGCAAGTTAATGATAATTTTTAACTGAGTTAAGTTAAGTTAATGGAAAACATTTTAAAGAGTTAAAAGTTAACAGTTAATGTAATTTTTTTTTTAACTCAGTTAAGTTAAAAGTTACATGAACGTTTTCAATTAACTTATTAACTTAAGTTATGTTATATTTATTTATATATGTATATAAATATATAAATATAAATATATATATATATATATGTATATAATATCTATATAAATATCCAGTAATATGATTCAAAATAATAAAAATCATAAATATTAAACATTTTTTTAAAATTATTATATAAAAATAACATGGTATTAAGAATGTACTTAATTTTAAACTCAGAATACTTTTTCAGGGAACTAAGTCATTAAACTGTTAGAGAATAATATAGCCAATTTTATACTTCAGTAAAATATTTATTAAATTTTAACAAAAGAGTCATTTCAAAGTTCTTATCCGCCATTGAACCCCTTCGCTTATTAAATAATTGACCTCCAGCACTGAATAAACGTTCCACATGAGCTGAAGAAGGAATTGCTGTATTATATTGGATATAAGCATTTTTTAAAACTAATGGCAAATCTAATGGGGTTTTAATATTGGTGTTCGAAAAATAGTTATTTGCAATAATTTGGATATCATTATTTTCAACATTGGTTTCATAATTATTTAGTCTAAAAAAGTCGTCTTCAGAATCACTACCATTACTCTGTGCAGTAGTGGTAGTGATGGCAGGATTTGTTTCTGTTAGTTGAGCATTCTCAGTTATGTACTCCAAAAATGTTTGTTTAATTTCATGACAATTTTCAGAATTTGTCCAGTTTAACTTAAACTTAGGAATTAAACATGCAGCTATTTGACAAGATTTGGAGTCCATATATCTATTAAATCTGAAAATTAAATAATAATACATAATTAATTTCAGCATTTAAATATAAGTCATTTATAAAATTGTATCGTTTTCCTGTAAAAACCATTTATGTTTAATTCTATGGTGAATAAATTGAAGTATTGGCTATTTCCAAATTTATAAGTAAGAATATTATCTAGCCAATGACAGGTTTTTTTACATTTTCATTTTAAAGCGCGTTATAATCATTTTAAAATAGTAAATTGTTCGTACATTTAAAATTCTTAAACTCGCTTACAAATTGAAATATAAAAACCTATATCATCGATTAAATAATATTCTTGCTTCTAAATTTGGTAATTGGTAAATTTGTATAAAATTCTCTATAAAAGAGATAAATTAATTACCCAGAGCGTACAATTTTCTATGTTACGATTTTGCAAGACGGAGGCAACATATACAAGTATGGTGTCCTCTTAACAATTATATTATTACACACATTTTATCAATTTTTCATTGTTTTCTTTATAATCAAAATATTATTTAAAATGTAGTAGGTAGGTATTATAAATACTTGTTGGAAAATAAACACTATATTAACTAGAAGTATGATGATATTAATATAGGTACATATGGTAAATATATAATATTTATTTAAAAGAGAAGTAACAAATACTACTTATAGGCAATAATTATTTTAAAATACTTGGTTTAGCATTTCAATAAATAGTCTGAGTAATATAAAGAAGTAAACATTTATAACAGCCAACAGGTACTTAAATAATACATAATATTTATAATACCTTTTATTTAGTCCTCTTTTTAGCGCAATAACTAAAGGTTTACACAAGTTCACATTGATAATTTCATTTAATGCTTTGTGAATAGCATTAATTGTTGGCAGCAAATATCCAAGTGAAATAAACTTCACACCTTGTAATAAATCCAAAGCCTTAGCTATCGGTTTCATCACCTATTTAATAAAATATGTATAATAATTTTAAAATTAAAAATAACACTTAAAAAAAAAATATATACATCACAATATTCCTTTAAAAATGAAACTTCACGTGGTGATGAGATAGGAGGCAACTGTAATTCAATGCAAAGTTCATTTATCTTATCAATATTGATCATTATACATTTCATGGCATCATAATAGGAATTCCACCTAAAACAAGTTACAATAGTTGTTAATGAAAATACTAAATAGTAACATATCAAAATCAAAGTTTTAATTCTTATAGGTAGGTAGGTATTTCATATTTATTACTTATTGAATTAAATAATTATTTTAGTTACCTAGTGGCATTAGGAGTAATAATATAACGTCCAAGGTGATCTTTAATTTTGTCAGCACTCATTGTTGATTGATTTTGCTTATTAAATATAGCTTGACATTTCGAAAATACTTTTTTACTTATTGCTTTATATGCAGCATCTTTTTCAGCATCATTAGCATCAACAGTAGCAATTAAATTTAGTGTGTGGGCTGCACATCTTTGATGAGGTGGCAATGAAAAACAAAATGAACTTTCAATATCCTGGCTTTCTAATAAATCTGTTACTTCAACATTCACAGGAATCTCATTTAAGTCAGTAACATCAATTCCATCATCTACTGTACCTTGTTCATTGTCACTGTTAAAAACTCTAAAAGTAATACAAATAAAACAAATAAATTAATTAGAAAAAAAAACCAGATCGCTGAAAAATTAAAATATACTAGGTATGTAAGTAGGTACTTAATATAAAACATAACATTTTACTTACCTAAAAGCTTTAACAAAATTAGCAGCATTATCTGTAACTATTAAAGTGACTTTGTTTTTAAGCTTAAACTCATTTATTACTTTATCTATACATTCTGCCAGGTTATCAAATGTATGTCTGCCAAAAATACGTCTACATGCAAGCCCTTTGGAGTAACTTTCAAGTGTTTCGGGATTAAGCCAGTGGACAGTGAAGCCAATATATGATCTATAATAACAAAATAAAAACATAACATAGTAAAAAACAACAATAAGTATGTTATTATGATTATACTATGATATTATAATAATAATAATTTTTACTATTATACTAACTTGTAACTACTAAATCTTAATAAATACATAAATTGGAAACACCAAATATGGAGTAACAATCTTAAATTTATCTATATTTTACAATGGAAATTAAAAGTATGATTGTTACTAATTTTAAATTTTATATTTAATTTAATAAGAAAAAAAAATGACTCAATA